TCATGTGGTGGAGGGTAGTCACTATCAATATCATAGCCACCAAGGTAGTAATCCGTTTCCAGCTCTCTTGTGCTCCCATGATGTGCTGAGCTGCCATCTGTGGTTTCATAATTGGGCACCTCCTCAATGTCAGATAATCGAGTGCTTGGCATCCAATCAGACGTGTCCCAGTGATAAGCTGCAGAAGAAAGCAAATACACAATGATTGGAGAAGGGTCTTAACTTTTAATAGAAATTAAGGCCAGTATTTTCTATCAGCTTTCCTTTCCTGGCCTCCTCCCACCTCACCAACCTAGTGGAGATGTCATTTGCCCATACTCCAATCAATGGCAGAATGGACATCCTCATGCAGCTGATATATCTAAAGTAGGTTGAGGGGGATGGGGCAAATGTCCAACAGTGTTACAATCATGACTAAGTGGCTACAGTAAATACAGAACAGTTACAGACGAGTAAACCTAGGTAACTGTTCCATATTCTTGAATGTTATTTAGTCATGATTGTAACACTAATGTCACAGTCCTAATGCCCCCCAATCTATTTTACTGGGCATCAGCTGCAGGGGAGAAAAGGTCCATTCTGCTGATAATCAGAGCATGAGTGATTAACATTTCTATCAGGTTTGGAGTGGCTGGGCCAGGAGAGGTTACTTAATTAAGTATACTAAGCTAAGTATACAGTACCTAACAAAGTAGCTGATAGGGAATACTGGCCTAGATCTATTGCATGCATGTGGTATAAACCAAGCCACTCTGGGCCTCAGGAAAACAAAGCTGCATACACAAATAAAAGACATGCATCACAGTAGCTTCTTTAAAAACAACAAAAAATGGCCAAACATGCTTTGGCTGAGATGAAAAGAAGCAACCTGATGTCATGGTAACATTCAACACAACACAGCCATTTTGAAGTAAAGAAAGTAAAAGTCACAAAATTAATATGCTAAACTCTAATGTAAGGCTCTGCTCATGGAAGATGTGAAAATCATTCCTCAGTTATAAAAGTGCTTCATTATGTACATTTAAAAAAAAGTCAGCATGCTCACACTGTTGGGTTTATTTCCAAGATCTTGGTCTGGGAAAAGAATTACAAATAATACAGCCACATAGAATAACAGATTGAGATGAAAAAGAACCAGCAAACCCCTGAAAGAAAACCACAATATGCACTGTTCATGCTCTGACATGCACAAAGTGAACATAGCATGATCCATAAGATGGGAGACCAAACTAAATGTATTAGTATCATGTTAAAAATCCAGCCCTCAAGACCACCCACTGCAGCAGACAGATAAGTCACCTCTGTTGTAGTTCTGTCCTTGATCCATACCAGACACTGTTAAATACAAAGTGAAAAAGCAACACTGGAAATTCTCAAGTCTGAAATTAGGACTGGGTTCAACAGGTACTTTGCAGAAAATCTAACAATATGACATATGCTTCTTAAAACATATCTGACAAAGTATTAGTACAATTGGTTTTAATCAATGCTTTAGTTAAAGGTTAAAAATTAATCTGATTTTTCTACTCAGATTTACATCGACACAAATAGAAACATCATCTTTGCATCAACTGGTAGAATACATTACTTCAATTATTTGAATCAAACATGCAAAACTGACTCAAGCATACATGTTTAATGCAAAAGTCTATGCAGTTTCTTTAAAAAGAAGGTGATGAATGGTTTATTTCTCTTGCTCACTGTGAAACAGAAAAAAAAATAAGAGTCTACCATTTTCAGGGCCGGTTCAAACAAATCTGGGCCCAAGTACGCTCAGATACCACGGTGAGGGGCACGGTATAACAACCTGAACAGAACAGAATAGAAAGGCAGTCAATTGGGCCACTGGAAGAAAGCACCACAGAGTCTATGCCTAGCTAAAGGTTGGGAACAGGATGGCCAATTGGACAGAAAAACAACAAAACCAACAAAAAAATGTTTTAGGACATTTTCCTAGCCCTATTGGATGTCAGGGATTGAACAAGCATGCAAAAGTGGATGCTCTACTACCCAGCTACATAGCTTCTTCTTCAGGAATGGAAATATGCATGATCACATCCTAATGTCTGCCCATTGAGCTGCTATTACTGGTAGAGCCAATTAAAAAAACTCCTACATCTTCCTTGGGAAAAATAACTTCTGAGCAGACCCAATATAATTTATTTCATAATTATTGGGGAATATGGCCTGTCTGTTTCCAAAGAGTGGGAACCAGATGCTTATCATTTGTTGCAGTAGAAAGTTTGTTTTTTGTTTTTTAAAAAACACAGATTGCAGAAAAATTACAGTAACATTTCTTCTTCCTTTCTGATGCAACCAATTATTTGGAAAACCCATCCTATAGTGGTTAACAATGGGCTTATGAAAAAGGATGACCAGAACCAGTGCAAATTAGTTAGCTCTCCACATTTAGCTCTCCACATTTGCAGCTTTGACTTTTGTGGATTTGATTATTGCGGATTTGATTAATACATTTTCTTTAGGAATCTCTATGTCTTCCAGAGTAAGTCTGTGTCTAACTTCCACCAGAGGTCACACTGGAGGACACTTCTCCAGGCATTTCTGGGTTCTTCAATGAAATTCTGTGATCAACTTTCAACGGATATTGACCATAGTGTTGCTCTAGAGGACCTAGAGATTCCTAGAGAGGTGTTCTCTCAGGTAAAAAAACAACAGGGTTTTTCTATTTGTGTTTTTTCAACATTCATGGAGGTCCTGTATCCCTAACCCCAGCAAATGTGGAAGGCCCATTGTAATATCGTTTAGTTGCTAGCATTCTCTGATTTGTTTGAACTATGTCATGGTTTCAGGACTTGTCTTTCAGTTTGTTTGTTTGGCCACTGGATTCTGTTTAAATGTGAGACCACAACTAGGACATGCCACTAGTGGCCCTGTGTCCAGCAAATGCTCCAGCCCAAATGCATGAATTTTCCCTTGCATTTCAGTTGGGGAAGGATTCTAACACTATTCTTAATCGCTTGAGTCCTGAATTTCTCTGTATCATGATCCTGGATGTTTTGGCTGTGGAACATTGAAATTCACATCATTGCTGCAGTGTTAGTGTTCTTTGATTTCCAAGAGCAGACCACAAGACTGGACTGTATCTTATGCTTTTTAATCGTGTACCATTAGAAAACAGCACTCACTATGTGAGTGAAGTTTAACTGGGTTTAAACTAAGGGGGGAAGCAGACGAGGGCGTCCAGGATGCCCTGGGCCGGCGCACCGCGGGGCCGCAGCCTCCGCACCTCGGCGCACCGGCGGTGTCCCTGGAAGGAGCGCTAAATCAGCGCTCCTTCCTCAAGACAGCGAAAGTGCGCACTAAAAGCGGCGGGCGCACTTTCGCTGTCTTTTCCGCCGCGGCGCATGTGGTCGCCGCGGCGTGAGGTCATCCCCGGAGCGCCGGCCGTGCGGAGGGCCGGCGACTCCGAGGGCGACCTCAGGGAGAGGAAGGGGCGCCGAACGTGCGGCTGCCCCTCCTCTTCCAGGCCCGGAAGACGACTCAATTAGTCGTCTGCCGAGGCCCTAAGCTAGCAATCTGACTTTCAGGTGGGAAAATGTTCCCCCTCTCTTTCTTTTCCCTCCTGTTTCCTAATGATAGCACCAGGGATCATTCACCAAAGTTAAACAATGGGAAATTCAGGGCAGGTAACAGGAAGTGTGTGTGTGCGTGCATGCGTGCGTGCGTGTGCCTTCAACTTGCCTATCAATTATGGTAAACCCATGAATTTTATAGTCTTTTCTTGGGCATCATCTGCAGTGCAAAAATAATGCAGTCTGACACTGCTTTGATGGTCATGGCTCACTGTTACAGAATTCTGAGATTTGTAGTTTTGTGAGATATTTAGACTTCTCTGTCAGAGAACTCTGGTATCACAACAACCTACAAATCCCAAGATTCCATAGGATGGAGCCATGACAAAGCAATATCAAGCTGCAGTGCAGATGTGCAGTGCAGATGTGGCCTTGAACAAAGACTATTCAGGATGGTTTTGCCAGTTCCTTTCTCTAAAATATAGGCTACAGTACCTGATATTCATTGGCTATCTCCCATCCAAGTACTAACAAGGGCTGATCCTACTTAGCTTCCAAAATCAGATAGGATCTGGTACCTTTAGGGTCTTTAGGCAGTGCATTTTCACAAAACAAACAAACAAAAAATTAAAAAAACCTCCACCATAATATAGGGCTGTAAATCTTCATTTACTCCATACTCCCACACAATAATGATTTTTCAGATTTCAAGATTTCTGCAAACAATTGCTCTGGGGTGCAAAAATATTTTTGTATTATATAGGTAATCTGTTATCATTAGCTTTGGTGGGTGGCCCCTGTTTCTAGTATTATGAGTCTTGTTGAGGTTTTCTCAGAAAAGATAAGGAAATTTGCAAATATTAACTGAGATCCTCTGAGTACCTACAGTGTTTTAAACATGCTGGTGCAATTATGCTGGTATATTGTGGGTAGGAAGTGGTGATGCAGCTAGAGCAGGAGGAAAAGGACTACAGCCATAATGGCTGTGAAGTAAGAGACAGATTTGTTACTGCTTTCATTAGGAGAAGAAGGCAACTGGCTTTGAGCAGGCAGTATTTCTATGCCTCACTCCAGGTGGAGTCATTGGAGATAAAGCAGCTCTGATCAGTTGGAGAATCACGCATGACACAGGAGAGACAATTTTCAATACGTCTTTAGGCACCTTGCCTCCAAAGATTGGAACTGCCCTTCTCTTCCTCTACTATAACCCTCCTTTCCCACAAAACTGGGACTCAAGCTGGTTTACAGATTAAAATGAGTGCAACCTTCTTTTCCCAGCAATGGCAATGGCATATCTATCTTTACCTCCATCACGGCAGCTGTGTGACATGGGTAAAAGTGCAACCCTTAGGGTAATAGAACTTCATGTTACTACAGGTTGAGTCTCCCAACTTGGGACCAGAAATGTTTTGGATTTTTGGGGTTTTTGGAATACCTGTCTTTGAATACATACAAAATGAGACATGAGCCAGTGTGGTGTAGTGGTCTGAGCATTGGACTACAGCTCTGAAGACCAGGGTTCAAATGCCCACTTGGCCATGGAAACCCGCTGGGTGAGTCACACATTCTCAGTCCCAGAAAAACCCATTTTAGATTTACCTTAGGGTTGCTATAAGTTGGAAACAAATTGAAGGCATACGACAACAATGACAAACATAATAACATATCTTGGAAATGGGACCCAAGTCTAAACACAAAATTCAATTATGTTTCATATACACTTTATACACATAGCCTGAAGGCAATTTTATACAACATTTTAAAATATTTTTGTGCATGAAACAAAGTTTGTGTACAATGAACCATTGGAAAGTAAAGGTGTCACTATGACAAGCCACCCATGAAAAAAGTTTTGGATGTTGAAGTATTTCGGATTTCAGAATTTGGAGTAAGGGAGACTCAACCTGTATAGCACACCAACAGTGCGCTATGTTACGTTAGCGCAGTGCACCAACATTCCAGCCCTTTATTATTTTGTAAAACTGTTTTCATCCCTAGTGAATAGTTTACCGGTGGAATTACTGGACTATCCATGGTTACTAGTCAGATTAGCTATATATCACCTACTTCCAGTTTCAGAGAATGTTTGCCTCTGTATTATTAGGTACTAGGGAATCTGAAGCACAGGGTACAGTTGCACTTATTTTCTCTTGGAGAACTTCCCATAGCAAACTGGTTGGCAGCTGGATGAAAAGAATGCTGGTCTAGATAGGGCTTGGGTCTGATCCAACATGGCTCTTTTAATGTTCTTTTCTCTGACCAGTGGTTGCAGCTCAGGCAGCACTGTCTGAACCGGCCCTGACTATTTAAAAAATGAAAACAAAAACAGAACAAAAAAACCCAACAGATTTCAGAGTTTTAGTTTATGAGACACAAGGTTTAGGTTTAAGTTCACAAGCATTAAGTTTACGAAACATAAGGACCTTTCCTGTGTCCCTGGTTTTATGTCCACACGCCACTCATTGTGGTCATATTGTAGCATGCCTTAGTGCAGGTTTATTGTGCAGTTATTTTGCTTCACACAGCAGAACCTCATCAACCTGTTGACATGCCTGGCTCAAAGTTGAATATGACTCCATTTCCCATTTTGAAGAAGAATTAGGCTTTTAAAAAGACTTCAATGGTACCATATTTTCCCCACTTTTCCAGTTAAAATATAGAGTTTGGGAAGAGTATGACTTCCAAAACTGTTGTTGTTGCTGTGCACCTTCAAGTCATTTCCAACTGATGATGACACTAAGGCAAACCTATCATGAACCTAGACGATCCCCCCTCCCCACTTTAACCCCAGATTTTGCAGGTTAAAAAGTAGTCTTATACGCCAGAAAATAAGGTACATACAGAGGTGCTTTAAAAGCCTGATACTACACAGTGATAAGGGTTGGATGGGTGATTGGAGGTATGAAATTCTCCATGATTCTCCAATCAGTTGCTTATTGGAAATATATGTATATATATATATTGAGATAAGGAGGGCAGAGGAAATAATAGAATCATAGAGTTGGAAGAGACCACAAGGGCCATCCAGTCCAACTCCTTGCCATGCAGGAATCTAAGCACCCCCGATGGATGGCCATCCAGCCTCAACAAAGACCTCCAAAGAAGGAGACTCCACCACTCTCTGAGGAAGTGTGTTCCACTATTGAACAGCTCTTACTGTCAGGATGTTCCTCCTAATGTTTAGGTGGAATCTCTTTTCATGCAAGCTACAGGAAAAGAGATTCCACCTCAACATTAGGAGGAACTTCCTGACAGTGAGAACTGTTTGACAGTGGAACACACTCCCTTGGAGTGTGGTGGAGTCTCCTTTTTTAGAGGTCTTTAAACAGAGGCTGGATGGTCATCTGTTGGAGAGGCGTTGGTTGAGAGTTCCTACATGGCAGGGGGTTGGACTGGATGGCCCTTGTGATCCAACTCTATGATTCTGTGACTCTAGATATAGTGGAATCCAAATGCCCCTTATTAGTAGTGCTTTATTAGAAGTATTTGTTTATTGCTTTTTAACCGAGCTGAACTTCCAAAATAATGCTGAGAAGGAGGCAGTTTTCACTAAACCTGCTTTTACCAAGGTGTTCTGGAGAGGCTCTTAAAAGGACTTGGTGAGGTAAAGATTTAACGGTGCAGATGACAGTCCTAGCAAAGTAGGCTGTTTTTCTCAGTTACTGTGTTGACTACTATACTAGCCCTTGATTCAGCTAATGAAAAATTACTGTGTTAGGATTCATGTGACATAGAAGTGATCTTTAGCACTCAAAGGCACAAATGGATTTGAATTGGGACAAAACAGAAAGGAGTCTCCATTTTTGGTTCAAATTTCACTGCTGCAGCAAATGCAGAGTCTCTGCCAGCCATACAGGGAGGACAGGATGTAAGGATTATTCATATAATGCAATTGACAAAATGGGCTCTGGCTCACAGACACTCAAGTCATAGAATCATAGAGTTGGAAGAGACCACAAGGGCCATCCAGTCCAACCACCTGCCATGGTCACAATGCATGCATCTACCTTGAAATGTTCCATTAGGCACTCACTTGAGAGGATGTACACAAGACACAAAAAGCACAACATGTGTATTGCTGAGGAGGTTCCACAGAAAAATTGGATGAGCCATTAATTAGGCTTGCCAGCTTTCTCCTTGTGTGTCTATTATTTATTATAAATTTACCTGATTTAAATTCAATTGTTAGCCCCAACTGGCACAGACCTATTCAGTGGAACTTGTAGTTAAGTGCCAATTCATATGGTTGCCATGGATTCAAAGTGCTTATTCTAGTTGGGTCTAAGATCTGAATTTTGACCCTGGGAGGTACAGTAGTTTGGATAAATTAGCTCATGGATCCTGTAACATCTTACAGGGTGCTTTCCCCTTGGGGCTCCATCGCGACAGCTTAATTTCACTGGATTGTCAGCACTGCAAAGGATATTACATGTTGGGGGAAAAACAAACAAAACTCCAAACCCTGTAGGCATGATATGGACAACCAAAATCACAACAGCATATTTTTCTTTCTTGGTCTTTCTCATGCATCTTTGTCCTCTGTTGGTTGTCTGTTAAATGAAGTCATTTACTCTGGCCTGACTAGTCGCAGTGTGACTTAATGAGGTTCTGCAGTGGTCTTTCAACAAGAACAGCAACAAGACTTTTAAAAAAGGTGGCAGTGCATGATAAATAAATTAAAGATTAAATACCTTCATTTTCTATATTGTCAACTACATTGTTGACAAGCTGTATGACAGTCACTATGGAAGCTTGTAGGAGAAGGAAAGCAGAAATAAAGGGAAGGATACCTTTATGTTAGTATTTATAACATACATCACTGTAAGGTTATCAATATCAAATTTTCACAGACAAGACTTGTTGGGAAGGGTATAGGGGTGGGGTGGGGGGTAAGGAGATGACAGCCTATGGCATTAATGAATTATGTAGTGGCTTGAAGAGCATTTCAATTTCAGATAAACTCGTACCATTTCCCCACCCCCTTACAACAGAACAGCAAGTATAGATACATTTAAAAACAGCATTTTTAGAAAGCTCATTTGTGGTGATGAGTATCAGTTCATAAATTCAGCCTGAATTGTCCAGCAGATTCAATTAACCAGACCAGTATCTTGTCTATCTGACACTAATCTTTAATTAATTAATGCTTCAAGGCTTTTGGAGGCAAAGCCACCATGATCTTTTAGACAATCATAAAGATAGGAGATAGTGTGGAGATCTTTTGGCTTAAACATTTTTTCTCCAGTAGTCACACCTGTGTACTATCTTTCCTTGTGGAGGAAAATGACCAACTTCTACAACCTCAATTCAGCAGACCATCATCAAACAGCTTGCATTTGAAAACAATAAATTTGATGATGATGATTAAATTATACTTATCCAGCCTTATATCACAAGATCGCAGGGTGCTATACAAGTAAAATCAACAAAATCATTTAGTACTATTGTTGTTCTTTTAACAATCCTGTGAACTAGAAATGTACAAGAGTCTTTTAACATCTGGACTGCCACATTTTATTAGCTGTATGGAAGAGGAGATTGCATATCAAGGAATTACCAGAACCAATGGAATACTGAACTCATGTCTTCTATAACCCCACCTTATATTTAGCATTATTTATTTAACTCAATATTGTTGTCATGTCCCTGCAAGTCAATTCCAACTCATGGTGACTTTTTCATTTTATTATTATTATTATTTGGCAAGATTTATTCAGAGGAAGTTTTCTATTACTTTCCTCTTGCACTGAGATAGTGTGACTTGCTTATGGCCACCAACTGGGTTTCCATGGCTGAGCTGGGATTGGTCTCTCTGGAGTTCTAAAGCCACAACTACACTGACCTCCAATCAAATATTGCTATTGTGAATTTTAATCAATGTTATCCCTTTATGGTTATTTTCTATCTACCTTTACTTGAATCTTTAACTCAGATCGTTAACTGTGTAGCCTTTCAGACACTGTCCAATTGTAGCTCAAAGCATTCTTCACAACTAGCTATGCCAGCTTGGATTGCTGGGTGTTATAGTTTGATATACTCTAGAGAGCCACACAATTCCCATCCCTACTATAACTGGGTGGATATTAAACTTAGAAAGAACTTGAAACATTTTTAAAATGAATTGCTAATTACTCTATTGTAGGTATTTTGCATGTGTGTGTGAGGTAAATCATTAACAAAGATCCACCATAGTATAGTGGTTTGAATGGCTGACTTACAGTGTTTGACCCTGTAGAGAAGACCAGGGTTTAACTCCCTGCTTAGTCACAGAAACTCACTAGGTGACTTAGGGCCAGGCAAGCTCTTAGCCTCAGAGGGAGCCAATGGCAAACCCCCTCTGAACAAATCATGCCAAGAAAACCTCATGGTAGGTTTGCCTTAGAGTTACCATAAATCAGATATGACTTGAAGGCACACAAGAATAATAAAAATTATCTTGATATTTAAAGAGCAACATATTATTAATGCATTGCTTTTTAATTTTTACTTTTTTTTAAAAAAAAGGAAAAACACACACTTAAATATATAAATATGGCTTC